TATCGTCATCATCATTGTTATCGTTATTATTATTATTATCATTATTATTACTATCATCACTATTACTATTATCATTAATATTATTATTTTTCTCATTATCATTATTATTATTGTTGTTGTTGTCGTTGTTTTTTTAATCATTATCATTATCATTATTATTGTCATTATTTGATCATTATCATTATTATCATCATTATTAATATCATGATCATTAACAGTAATATCTTATCATTATATTTATCATTAATTTTATCGCTGTTGTTATCATTATTATAATCTTATGTTTTTAACAATATTCAAATATTCATTATCATTATCATCATACTAATGATGATATGATTATCATTATTGTTACTGTTTTATCAGTATTGCTATCATTATTATAATTTTCATTATTACCAATATTCCTAGCATATTTACAATAACGATAATGATGATAATACTTCTATTATGATAGTAATAAAGATTATTGTAACTGTTATTATTATTGTTATTCTTACTATAATTATCCTTATTAGGTTCGTTATCATCATTAATATTATTCATATCATCATTATCATCAAAACCATTATTATTATTGTCATTATTATTGTTATCATTATTATTATCATTTTATCATTATCATTATTATTATTATTATTATTATTATCATTATTATCGTTCTTATCATCATCATCATGTTATTGTTATTACTGTTATCATTATCATTATTATCACTTATTATCATTATTATTGTTGTTGTTTCTGTTATAATTGTCATCATTATTATTAGTCATTACTATCATCCTTTTTGTTATCATTCTTCTTGTTTCCATTATCATTATTATCCTTATTCTTATCATTATTGTTTCCTTTATCATTACCATTATTTTTGTTATTGTTATCATTGTCATCAGTAATGTTAGCATTGTTATTAATATCATGAAAATTATTATTGATATCAATTTCTTCGTATTATTACCACTATTTTATTATTGTTACTATTATCATTATCATCGTTATTATTATCATTATTATTATCACTGTAATTCTAGTGTCATTATCATTATTGTAATCATGGATGTTGCTTTCATTATTATTTTCATTATTGTTAACATGGATATCATTATCAGTTTTATCATCATTATCATCATGAATATCATTATCCGTTCGATCATTATTATTATGATCATCATTATTAGTTTTCTCATTCTCATTAACCATTCTTATTACCATTTCCCTTTTCTTTGTCTTTAATTTCAGCTTCGGAATAACGTTGCTATCTCATCATCATTGCGAAGGCCATTATCATAAAAATGTTCTTTTCCTTCGCTTTTTTCCTCTTTTATCGGATCACGTGACATCTCAAGGACTCCTTATCAGCGCCATGGGTTCGCGCCCTGCGGAGGGAGTAGGGGGAGGGGGAGGGAGGAGGGAGAGGAATTGTTGCGGTAGGGGAGGAAGGCGTGGAGGGAAAGGGTGGGGGAGGGTGGGGGAGAGGGGATTTGGAAGGGGAGGGGGAGGGGATATGAGAGGGGCATGGGAAGGAGGAGAGGAAAGGAGAAGAAGAGGAAGGCATGAGTATGGAATGGAGAAGGGGATAGGAGGGAGAGGGAGAGTTAGGGGAAGGGAGGAAAGAAAAAAAATAATTTAGGGGATGGGTGAGGGGAAGGGGAGAACTCATGGGAGATCACTGTGTGAGATTCCAGATGATTCTTTACATAACACTGCGCATGTATTGCTTTTTCACACACTCAAGCACTCTGAACACATGCACACTGAATACTCCATGCAAACGCACAGATAAACCTGTTCGTAACTGGAGAGAACAAGAAGTCATATTAAGGTTTGAGAGTTCTTTCTCAATAATATTTTTTTTAGATTATGTCCATGTGAATTTTAATCTCGTCTGTTATATCTATGGGTTTATTTGCACAAAATCTTGTTGTATAACATGATAATGAGAAAATAATGATAATGTTGTTAATATAGGAGTTTATTTTATAAATTCATAACCAGTGATAGAATATATATTACTGATATGACTCAAAAACTATTTCCTGTTTCAATTAACATACAAGCATATCAGACATCAAAGTAATTATCAAAGTGATGATTATGATATAGTTTTTCCATTCACTTTTATTCATAAATCCCTATTATCATCATTATCATCATAACCATTATCACTAACAACGTTCTTTGGCCTTATTCTTCATTGCTATATTGATATTAACATCATAGTATTATCATTCTTACATTATTTCTTCTGATATTTACTACTGTTCTTATAGCTGCTATTTATATTTTCTGATTATCATTATCAAGAACGTGGATTAATATTATTTTCATCGTCACCATCATTCTTATCAATATTATCAACATCATTAGCATTATTTTTACCATAATCATTATGATCATTATCATTGTTGCTGTTGTTGTTATTGTTAATATTTTTATCATCATTATTATTATTATCAGTGTTAATATTGTAATTATCGTTATCATTATTATTATCATTTCTACGGTAATCATTATCACTATCTTCATTATTATTGCTATTACAATCGATATTACTATTATTATTATCATCATTATTATTATCATTATTATTATTATTATTATTATTATTGTTGTTGTTGTTGTTGTTGTTGTTGTTAATATTATTATTATTATTATCATTACTATCGGTATTATTATCATTATTATCATTATTATTATTATTATTATCATTATTATTATTATTATTATTATTATTATTATTGTTGTTTTGTTGTTGTTGTTGTTTTGTTGTTGTTATTATCATTATAATCATTATTATTGCCATTATTATCATTATTATTATTATTACATTATTATCATTATTATTATTATTATTATTATTATTATTATTATTATTATTATTATTATTATTATTATTATTATTATTATATTATTATTATATTATTATTATTATTATTATATTATTATTATTATTATTATATTATTATTATTATTATTATATTATTATATATTATTATTATTATTATTATTATTATTATTATTATTATTATTATTTATTATTATTATTATTATTATTATTATTATTATTGTTGTTGTTGTTGTTATTATCATTGTTATTATTATCATTATCATTATTATCATCATTATTGCTATATTCATTATTATCATCATCATTATCATAATCAATTTTGTTGCTGCTGTTATTGTTAATTACTGTATTATTATTATTGTTATCTTTATCATTATTATCATTATTGTTATCACTATTATCATTGTTATTATCATCATTATCAATTATTATCATCATTATGGTTATCATTGTTATTACTATTATCATTATTATCATTGTCATTATTATTATTACCATTATTGTCATTATTATTATCATTATTACCATTATCATTATTATTATTATTGTTGTTACCATTGTAATTATCATTAACATCATTACTATTATAATTATTATTATGAATATCATTGCCATCATAATCATCATTATTATCATTATTGTTATTATTATCATTATTATTATTATCATTATTATTATTATTGTTGTTGCTGTTATCATTACTGTTATCATTATGATTATGATCATCATTTTTATCATTATCATTATTATTACTATTATTATAACTTTAATTGTGATAATAATGATAATAATGGTAACAATGATGATTAACATCGTTATCACTAGAATTATTATTGTTATTACTGTTATTATTATTTTCATATTGATAACCATAATGATAATAGTAATGATGATTCCTTTTTATCATTATTATTTGTTATCATCATCATCATTGTCATTATGGCTATCATTATTATTTTCATCATCATTATTATCATTATCAATATTACTTTTATTATTATTACTACTATCATTATCATTACTGATGTCTATTATGATTATCATTATTATGATCATCATAATCATCATTATTACCATTATCATAATTATTACCGTTATCATAATTATTACCATTGTTATTATAAAGTCATTATCATTATCACTGTTAATTATCATGATAAACACAGCCATTTGGTCATGGTCTTCCTCAACGCTCGGCGCCGCTCTCCTTTCCCTAGCAAGTCCCTCGCCACAATGGCCAGTCGGCGAGTTCGAGAGCTGTGTCCTTCGCGGCACCGGACGCTGCATCCGCCATGGCCATGTGACGCGCGTTTTAGAAGCACTGGTGTTGGACTCTGCTTTAACATGTCCTCTTGTCCAGCTGCGCCGCTTGTCACGTGCACTGCTCCGATGACAAGGTACGTCCGGCAGGAGGAAAGGGCGGTGACAGGGCGAGCCCGTATGGAAGAGGGATATAAGGGTTAAAGGTTGGTGCTTGCAAGCGAAAAAAAAGTTTAGGCTCG